GCACATGATAACTTAACGTACTCCGCTTAGTAAAACATCTAGCATATAAAGGAGATAGGCAAATAAATCAGGTAAACAACCAAGGAACTTGCAAGTAAAGATGAAATGCAATAACCAAATCAATCAGTGGCCAGTCTTATCGCAACAATACCATATACAAACCAAACCACTAATAAGCTTTTTCCAAAGTCCACACCAATCAAAAACCCGTCGGTTTCTCACAATCCGCGTGTACACCATCAAGAACGCACATGAGAGGGTGAACCTAGGGGGATAGATCCATATCCACATGCTGCACGGACAATTCACGTGCTATCATAATCCGCCCGACGTGGTTACATGCTCAATATTATAATCTGCCCCGCGTGGTATAATGACCCGACCAGTCATTTTATGTATTTGAGCCCCGTTTTTCCTTTTTATAATTCACACATGTGTATTTATAGTTTTATGACTTGCAATGATGGTTAGTTTTGTTCTGAGAAGGTTTTGAGTTGATTTGGATCCTTTGGTTCTTGGTTTAGAAGCTTAAGGGAAATGTTAACCGAGGTTTGAATTTGGTGAAAATGATCATGGAACGGTGTGTTGATAGTTCCGATAGGTCTGTATCGTGATTTTGGAATTGGACGTATTATCGAAATTGAATTCAGAGGTCGTTTGGTTGATTTGACTTATTTTGCCGAAAGTTGACAATTAGAGGTTTAGAAGTTTCTTTAAATTTGACCGAAGGGTGACTTTATGGCTATCAGGTTCGGAATTTGGTTTTGGGACTTGGAATAGGTCCATTTTTATATTTGGACCTTGTCTGCAAAATTTGATGTAATTTGGAGTTGGTTTGATAGGATTCAAACGCTTGGTTGCAATTCTAGAGGTTCTTGAGTTTTCTTTTAAAATTCATGCGTTTTGATGTCCTATTCGTGGTTTTAGATGTTATTTTGGTATTTTGATAGTGCGTCCGAGTTCATACGATATTTTTAGACTTGTGTGGATGTTTGGTTTGGAGCCACGAGGACTCGGGTGAGTTTCGGACGTGTTTCAGATTAGATGGAGCTGGTTATAGGTTGCTGGTGTGCTGGTGCTGCAGCTGTCGCAATTGGGAGCACTAGCATTGCAATTGAGAAGAAGACAAGGGAGGTCCAGATGTCACAAATGCGATCCCCTCTTCGCATTTGCAAAGACAATATAGGATTGGGTTGGGTCGCATTTGTGACCATTGTGTCACTTTTGCGAAGAAGGTTGCCATCGCTATTGCGACATCTGTGTGGGCTGTCAGGGTTCGTTTTTGCGATCCCTATTTTACAACTGCGAGGGTTCACAAATGCTAACCCAAGGGCGCATTTTCGATATCCGCAGCTGAAGAAAAGAGCTGGAAGACGGGATTTTAGTCTCATTTTCATATCTTTGAACCCTAGACTAGGTAGGAGGCGATTTGGAGAGGGAATTTTCATATACAATCATTGGTTAAGTGATTTTAATCTATTTTCAATTATATTATATGATTATACATGAGATTTAACATCAAATTCATCAGAATCTAAGAGAAATTTTGATGATTTTTGTCTACATTTTGAAAAATAATAATTTGAGATTTGAGAGTTGAGTTGAACTTGGATTTGAAAACAAAACATATATATGAACTTGTGGGATTATGGATAGTCGAGATCTACCCTTGGACCCGGGTTTGATCGGGCGGACCCGGGGTTTACTTTTGTTGACTTTTGGAAAATTGTGTAAAGATCATAACTTTATTAATTGTAATTGGTTTCTCTTATACTGTTTGATGATATTAAGTCATTTTTGGTTAGATTTGAGCCGCGCAGAGGCAAATTTTAAGGGAAAAGCTCTTTTTGAGTGTTGATTTGGCTTAGTTGAGGTAAGTATCTTGTCTAACTTTGTGTAGAGAAACTACTCCTTAGAATTTGGGTTGTTTGTACTATTTGAATTATATGGAAGACGTGTACATGGGGTGATAAATATGTACATGGGCTTATATGTGGTATTTGACCGATTTAGACTCTTAGGTTACTTGTAAGCACTTAATTGAAGATATTATTATTTCTTCTATCTTTCATTGTCAAGTTTATTCTTACATGCCTTAATTGAAGCCGTATTTACATGTTCTAGTTTTCATTATTAAGGTTACTCTTATATGCATTTATTAGTAGTTGTTGTTACATACTATTCTCTTCATTGTTGAATTATTCTCGTGCATTTAGTCATAGTTACTTTTTCATGCCATCTCTTTCACTGTTAAGCTTATGTTATATACTTGAGTTAGAAGTTGCCATTTCTTGAGAATACCTTCATTGTTTAGTTATTGGAGTTGTAGTTGTGAAAGCTATTAACAAATTGTGGTTGGAGTTGTTGATTATTGGGATATCTTTCCTTGTTGAGTTGCTTCTAATTCATTTTGTTGTTATTGAGATTCTTATACATCTTTTGGTTAAGCCCTAGGCTATGTATTGTGGTAATATTGGTATTATTGATTTGGAAATGTTGTGGCATATGGGTATGTGTGGTGCGAGTTAATTACTGTGTTGTGATATTGATATGCATGCGGTGGTATAAGAGTAGGTATTGAAACACATGTGGCGAGATAAGGTGGGATTTATACGCGTGTTGCTAGTAAGGGAATTACTTGAAGCCACACGGTGAGAAAATGGGGCTAAAACACGTGTAGCTATTGCGGAAAAAATATTTTTAAAAATAAATGCATGGCTCATGCGGTGATATAATAAATATTATGATTGTGATTTGTAAAATGGGAACATGAGGTGTGGTACCTCAGTGTGATTTTTGTCATACATTCTGAATTGGAAAGGTTCGTTGATTTGAACGGTTATTGCATTGTTTTCCTTAAATTCATTTCACTCTTATTTTGATTGTATTTGATCATTGTTGCTTTTATCATATGTTACCTCTTTGATGTCCTTTATTTCCCTAAATTTCCGTTGTTAGACTGGTTTGATAAATTGCTTATTTGTCATTTATTTCCTTTATTTCTCCGTTGTTAGATTATATTAATATTCTGCACAGGTTTCTATGTGTGGTAGGTGTCTTGACCTGGCCTCGTCACTAATATTCCGAGGTTAGGCTTGATACTTAATGGGTATCATTGTGGTGTACTCATGCTATACTTCTGCATATTTTTGTGCAGATCCAGGTACTTCTGCTTGTGCCGGACGCGAGTGAGTTGACCCAGTTACTTCGGAGACTTCAAGGTATACCTGCATGACGCTCGCAAGCCTCAGAGTCACCTTCTTCTATTGCCTTACTACTGCTTATCTTCATTTCCAATAGAGTTGTATTTTGAGATTACTAGTGCATTTTCTGTACAGCTTATGACTTGGTTCCCCCGATTTTGGAAATTATTTGACCGTTGTATCGTTTGGGTTTTATTATGACAGTTACCAGTTTAATTTGATATTTAATCATTATTTCTACTAATATATCTAAATCATTTTTTCTACTAATTCTCATTGTGTGTTAGGCTTACCTAGTCTTACTGACTAGGTGCCATCATGACATCCTAAGATGGGAATTTAGGTTCATGACAAGTTGGTATCAGAGCTCTATATCACAATCTGTCCAGCGTGGTCACAGGCTCAATATCACAATCCGCCCGGTATGGTCACATTTTCAATATCACAATCCATCCAGCGTGGTCATAGGTTCAATATCACAATCTGTCTAGCGTGGTCACATGCCCAATATCACAATCCGCCCGGTATGGTCACATTCTCAATATCACAATCCGCCCGGTATGGTCACATTCTCAATATCACAATCCGTCCAGCATGGTCACAAGTTCAATATCACAATCCGCCTGGTGTGGTCACATGCTCAATATCGAAATCGGCCCGGCATGTTCACATGCCCAATATCATAATCTACACGGCGTGGTCACATGCTACCAGTCCAATTCATATCACACAGAAAGCAGATATATAAGAATACATGTACATGATCAATGAACATCAAATTTATACTCCTGGACTGGTATAAGTGAAATTCTAAGGTGTATACATGTGCAAAGTATTATATCATAGCTCAAATAAGGCAAATACACCACGAAAGTAGAAACTATCAGGTTCAACCAGGAGATTACCCTCTATGTAATCTCAAACATGGCTTATATAGCTCACAATAGGAGTACAAATATAAGAACCATCACAACCCCATAGCCTATGTAGGTTAGCAATCAATACAAGGCATACCATAGCCTAAACACTACTCCGAGCATGAATAAAATCCCAGTGCACGTATATAGGCTCCACCCTATACATGTGCACCACCCATAACACGTAGCTATGACGAATAAGTCAGGCAACTAGTGCCTTAACTAAGTTTAGGTAAGATACTAACCTCAAACAAGCCAAATCAATACTCTAGAAGCGGTGTCCCGTACGAATCCACTCCGAACGGCTCAAAACTAGCCAAAAGTAACTCAAAAACATCAATTAATGCCATAGGAATCAAACCCAAATAATAAAGGTCGAATCTTTATTCAAATATCCGAAGTAAAATAAATATTCAACCTGGACCCGCACCCCGGAACGCGAAAAACTCATAAATTTTGATAGCCCATTCGAGTACGAGTCCACCCATACTAGTTTCACTCAAATCCGACTCCGAATTGGTATTCAAAACCCAATTATTCACTTTAGAAAAGTTTTGACAATAATCCCAAATTTTTCTTTTAGATTCCTCACCCGAATTCTAAAATCAAAGATAAAATCATGATTAATAATAAAAACCGAGTAAAAAATACTTACCCCAATCCAAATCGTGAAAATCACCTAAAGAATCGCCTAAATTCGAGCTCCCAATCCCATAATGTGATGAAATATCCAAACCCTCGAAATATAAGCTTATGCCGAGCACTTTCACATATACGATCAACATGCCGCATCTGCGGCGCCGCTTCTGCGACAAGAACCTCGCTTCTGTGAGTACCACTGAAGCCTCGTCCTCTCGCACCTGCAGACCACCTTCCGCTTCTACAGCATCACAGATGCGAGGAATGATTGCTTCTGCACCAGTGTGACTGCTTCTGCTGTCCCACAGATGCGTCCAGGACTTCGCATCTGCGGACATCCCCAACCTACATCCCTCTTCGTAGGTGCGTCAATATAAGCGCTTCTTCGACCATCACACCTGCGCAAAATCAACCGCAGATGCACAACACCAGAAACAGATAAGCCAAAACACTCCTAAATGATCCGAAATCAATCCAAAACACACCCAAGCCTCTCTGAACCCCGTCCAATCATGCCGACAAGTCACAAAATACTATAACGACTTACATGAGGCCTCAAATGACACAAAATAACTTCAAAACCGCAAATCATCGATCAAGATCAATCTCTTAAGTCCATAAACTTCAAACTTCGAACCAAGCGTCCAATTAAAACCTAACCAATCCGGAATCCAACCAAACTTTGCATACAAGTCCCAAATGACAAAACAAACATATTCCAACTCTCAAACAACAGTCTGAACTCGATAACATTGAATTCAACCACCGGACGTACCTATGACTTTTCCAAATATTCAAATTACACACTTTCGCCAATTAGAGCTAAAACCTTCTAGGAACATCCAAGTATGAATCCAAGCATACACCCAAGTCCAAAATCACCATCCTGACCTAATGGAATAATCATAACTCTGATTCGAGGTCAAACACACAAAATTCAAACTTGGTCAACCCTTGTTGGTTCCCCAAGTACACGCAAATATACATGACCGTCAAGTAATAAAGTGACTCAAAAGTCGGATGTCGAACCCATAGAGACTTAGATTAATTATTAACTAAGAAAACTAAGATCAATTTACAGTCCAAGATAATAAAAAATGTTAATTTACTATTGCAAATTCAATAAGCAATCAACTAAATTAACAAGAATAAAGAAGTTTGTTGTGGGATTTTACTCAGAGGAGATGAAGATTCTAAGGTTGTTGTCTGTTTATCAATCCAATTAAGTTCAATAATCACATTTATTAATTCAAATTATCTATGGTTTCTAATTGACCGAATCATTTATATGAATAACATGTTCCCACAATACTACTCGCCTATCCACAATATATCAATCATATATTCCTATGGTATTGAGTCCATCATGAATGAATATAATACGACATTCAACTAATCAAGACTTTAGGTATAATACTATCCTAACCACGAAATCGTTCCCCAAGCCACAGGTTCAGAAACAAGCTCTCTTTAATTCTACTCTAATCTAAACACGACTTTCCTAAGCATAACATAGATAGTAGGGTGAATTGGTAGCTACAACAATTCATGAGTTAAAACTAGAATTAAAGAAATAACCACAAGATGATAATCCGAATTAACGAAGATGTAATTAATAAATATTAATAATCATGTCAGCCACAACCCTAGAAACTGGAGTGCTTAGCCACTCATATTCATAGTAACATTTTTTCAAGTATTTTCCATAAATAAATTACAAAGAAAAGATGAAGGAATGAAGAACTTGATGGTTTTCTTCCAAATGTTGTTCCAAGTGATGTTCTCATCCCCAAAATAATTTTCCACCCCTCAAAAATAGGTTTAGAACCCCTTTTATATATGTTTGGGACGTGTAGGGTTGGAATCACCAAGTCCCAGCCAAATTAGGATGAAATCCATCCTTGGGCGTCATGCTTTGCGCCTGGCGCGAAGCTGGACAGTGAATATTTTTGCCTGCTATCAACGGTGTTTTGGTTGGCGCCTAGCGCGAACCTGGGCACCAAGCGTTTTCCATTTTTATGCTCTGCTGCCCTTGGCATTTTGATTGGTTCTTGGCGCGAACCTGGGCACCAAACTTATACTTCCTCCTAATTCTTCTATTTTTACTTCACTTTGCATGCAAATTTTCCAAATCACTTCCAATTGACTTCTACACATATAAATAACATTATTAAGCTCGAGTCACAAATATTCACTCTAAAGTTAATATGACCGAGACATAATTCAAGGCAAATTACATGCAGAAATATGGATTTTTAGCCAAACATCACCACCCCACACTTAAGCTCTTGCTAGTCCTCGAGCAACCTAAAACCTTGCTAACCAAACAATGGAACGCAAGACATCATACAACAGAGGAACATTTGGCAATTCAAAACAATACACCTATGAGCATGGTTGATACCAACAATTAAGCCATTGCATACACATTCATACCTTTCCCAACTTTCACATGCCTGAATATTAGTGAACAATTTAAAAAACTCAAACAACCTGCCCATAACCACCCAACATCAAAGACAGACTCGTCGCCAATAAGCACTCTCAACTTGTGTACTCACCCAACAAAAGATATGTAATAACGTCACCTATCCGTCATGGGATCATGTGCCTCACCAAATAATAAGAGAGTATTTCGTCCACACATTCAAATATGCATTCGAATAAAATTTAAGGACATCACATACATGAATAAAGAACCACTAACTCTCACATAGAAATTCATGTGCATCCCACGATTGTACCATATGCTTGCCCATAGTGTATAACTCCACTAATCTAAGCTCGCAAAGTCTAGGATCAATTAGGTTTTTACGGGTTGTAATGGAGGCTGAGGGACGGGTAGGATATATTTTGGTATAGTGACTAACCCTCCTAATCACTTACTACATTTAATTTTCAAGTACACACTCTTCATGAGCAACTCGAGCCATGCCATGAAACCATACACAATTTAGCCCTTTCTCTTTAAACATATCTATATACTTACTAGCCCGAATTAAGATGAATAGGAGATATATTTTCTATTTTTCATTGTTTTTCTCCTTTTGTATTTTCTTTGCATTTTTTTTTCAACACTCTCCGTAAATTTAAGTGTGCCCGGCTAATGATCTTTCAAAACATATTTGCACCCTTTGACCTTTCTATGGTTCCACTCAAAAGCTACCCCAACTTTTACCTTATTCTTCTAGCGACTTAAGTGCTTTGGGAGGCAAAGGCTCAACGATGTTCAACTAAGAACAAAATAGGATTCAACTTATAATGTGGGTGCCAAAGATAAGGTTTATAGGATCAATTGGGCTATCTACGGATAATTTTATTTATGGTGGAATAATATCTCAATGAACGATAAAAAAAAAACCTATATTATCTCCTAGACTTACAAGACTTAATTATTTCGCTTCGACTAACACACGAGGCAAGTTCTAGACTAACACAAGATAACACAAAATACAATCAAGACCTCATATCACACAATGCATATTATCCATTCAGGACGGTTTCATTCCAACTCTCAAGTCAAAGCAAGTAATCACATAGTCAGAAGTATTAAGCAATAAAGCACTACGTGAACAACGAGTCAAGAAACTGAGAGAAGGCATCATAAACAGGCTGTTCAGTTTATCTATGGCATAAGTTTTCGTCAAAACATGTTAGGAAGGTAAATTTCATGCTAAGTCCTAACTATGCTAGCATCAAACAAGTCAAAAGGCACATAAGAACAATCAAGTCTTCTTCCTTTTATTTCCTAAAAAAGATAAAAATACTCAGTTCAAGATACATCCTTAGAAAAGAACTGATGCCCAAAGAAAAACCAAGGGGAATTATTACCTACCTCCGACTACTAAAAAGAAGAAAAATATTTTTGAATTTTTCATTGGACCTTAATCCTTCAAGAAAGCTGTCCAAGAGATACCATCGTCGGGAAAAGTCCAAAATTTTTTTGATGTTTTTGAATTTTTGAGTTTATTTGATTTTTTTTATTTTTTCGATAAAAGCTACTAAAACTAGTACTCAAATATTACACTACCAATTCTACTAAATAGCAAATGAAAATAAGAAGCTAAAAATTAAAAATAAGAAGTTAAATGTTAATACAACTATACTGCTATAATCTGACATTCCCCCACCCCATACTTAAAAGAGTATAGTGTCCCAATGCACTAATAAAGAAAAAATAACGAGGGTGGACAAGAAATTCCCTGAAAGGACAATGGCCGAAGCAATATCAGCTCACGGGATACTAAGACTTCTCCCATGCATGGTCCATTGTGGGAGCACCCCACACTTAGTCCCAACCATCTAACTTGCTTTTGCACATCTTATCGCCTTTCTTCTTACGCTCATAATACTACAAAAATAAATACTACATAATACTAGAAGAATAAAATAAACGAAAATAAATTAAAAAAGTAGTAAAGTTGGGCTGCCTCCCAACAGGTGCCTGATTTATAGTCGCGGCACGACTTGAACCACTTGCTCAAGCTGGACGGTTTTATCTCCTCCTCTTTCTATGGAGTTTTGCCTTCTTGTGCGCTCTAGGAGGATCTCCTATTTCCTTTATGACCCTTTTCTCTGTTACATTTACGCATTCATCTCGCAACACAAGTTTTCTAACTCCATTTTCTTTTCCACGCCACTAGGCTCCACATAAAGACCTTTCTCTATCAACTTCGATTCTACAACCGAGATCATACACAAATCCTCATATGCTTGGGAAGTTTAAGCACCTTGTACACATTAAAAGTGACTTCCTCATCATGTACTCTCATCTTCAACTTTCCTTCCCTCACATCTATAATTGCTCCACCAGTAGCTAGGAATGGTCGCCCAAAAATAATATGCACTTCTTTATTTGCCATGTATTCAAGTATAATGAAGTCTGTGGGAAAGATGAACCTCCCCACACGTACTAGCACATCTTCAATAATCCCTTTTGGCACTGCCAACGACCTATCCGCTAGCTGTAGAGTTATAATTGTGGGCCTGGGTGCTCCCAAGTCGAGCTGCTTGAACACTAATAGTGGCATCAAATTAATGCTCGCTCCCAAATCGCACAAGGCTCTACCAACCTCGTGTTTCCCAATGGCCAATGGAATTGTAAAATAACCAGGATCTTTCAACTTAGGCGGGAGCTTACTCTGTAATCTAGCACTACAGTCCTCAGTAAGTGCAACTCTTTCAAACTCGACATGTCTTCTCTTGTTAGTCACAATATCTCTAAGATACTTTGCATATTTGGGTACTTCTTGCAATACTTCCACAAAAGGAAGATTCACACGCACCTGGCTCAAGATATCTAAAAACATTTTGTACTTGGAATCAACTTTTGTTTTCTGCAACCTTTGAGGAAAAGGAGGTGGTGGACTTACCTCTCTCTCTTGCCCATGTTCATTATCTTTCTTTTTAGTTCTGCCTTAGGTTGAGGTATTAATCTTTCAAAAACCTCTTTAGGCACATAAGTTTTAGGTGGCACCTCCTCCAATGCTCTCCAACTTCTTAGATTGATTGCTGGCACTTATTCAATGGGATTCCTCTCAGTATCACTAGGGAGTGCTCCAGTAGGTCGGGTTCTTTGTTGTGTAGCCAACTGCCCAACCCGCCTCTCTAAATTTTGAAAATCAGTCCTCAGCTGGTTGTCAATTAACAGCTTTCTCAACATATCATTGGTTCTTTCTTTTACCTGTTGTGGTGGCTTTTGGGGATGATTGTAGTTTCTTTGGGTACTGTATTGATTTTTAGTAGCCTGATTTCCACCCCATGAGAAGTTCATGTGATTCCTCTAGTTCGGATTATAAGTGTTCCCATATTGTGCATTTTGGTTCATTTGACCTCTATTTTGTTGCCCCACATAATAGATGGATACAGGATTCGTGGGACATATGTCACTCGTGTGACCTTCACCACATAATTCGGAAAAAGTAGACATCTGTTGCACATGTTTCATCTAATGCGCTTGGTGCATTATCATTTTATTCATCCGATTTGCTAATTTCGCTATATCTACCCTCATGGCTGAGAAATCATCAAGCTCAATTACACCTTCTGCCTTATGTTTAAGTGCTCTTCGTGGTTCCCCCCATCTCCTTGCCAATTATTATACTTACTAGTGAAATTGTTTACCAAGATCTGGATTTCACTATACGGCCTTTCCATGCAACTACCCCCACAAGCTGAGTCAAGATTCATCTTTGATGTCTCATCCAACCCATCAACAAAAGTGTGACCCAATACCTCATCAGTCTAACAATGATATGGGCAGTCTCTGAATAGCTTCTTGTGTCTTTCCCAAGCTTGACGAAGAGTCTCGCCATCTCATTGTTGAAACCAAAGAATCTGGCTCCTCATCGACTTTGTCTTCTTAGTAGGAACAAACTTGATTAAGAATTTTTATGCTAGATCATCCCAAGTGTGGATCGAGTTTACGGGGTCCTTCTTCTACCATTCTTTGGCTTCCCCCAATAGTGAAAAGGGAAACAATGCTAGTCTGACATAGTCCTTGGAAACGTTCAGATAATTATAAGTATCCGTAATTTCCAGAAAGTTCTGAATGTGCCGCTGTGGATCTTCATGAGATAGACCCACATACTGCCCCGTGGACTGAATCAACTATACCATGTACTGTTTGAGCTCAAAGTGACCCTTGATATCGTGCTTCACAATAGCCTTAGTCATATTAGCAAAATTAGGCCTCGTGACCTCTATAACTGATCTCTCTTCATTACCTTCCATCTCTAGTGGTTGAGGTTGAACTACGATGTCCAATTCTCCTTCTGTTCTAGTTCTAGCTTCGACTTCCCTTCTTAACCTGCAAAGTGTTCGTTCTATTTTCGGATCAAGAGGAAGGAGGTTGTTCGCGCTTCTACTCCTCCGCATTCAAGAGAAGAGCATGTGTTAACACAAATAAAGAAAACTAAAAATTAAAACTTGAACAAATAACGAGCAAAAGCTTAACTCAGACAAGTAGCTAATTTCTTTGTCCCCGGCAACGACACCAAAAACTTGTTGGTTCCCTAAGTACACGCAATTATACATGGCCGTCAAGTAATAAAGTGACTCGAAAGTCGGATATCAAACCCACAAAGACTTAGAGTAACTATTAACTAAGCAAACTAAGATCAATTTACTGTCCAAGATAATAAAAATTAACAAGAACACAGAAGTTTGTTGTGGGATTTCACTCAGAGGAGATGAAGATTCCAGGGTTGTGGTCGATTTATCAATCCTACTAAGTTCAATAATCACACTTGTTAATTCAAATTATCTATGGTTGCTAATTTACTAGATCATTTATATGAACAACATGTTCCCACAATACTACTCGCCTATCCATAATATGTCAATCCTATATTCCTATGGTATTGAGTCTATCATGAACGAATATAATAAGACATTTAACTAAGCAAGACTGCTAGGTATATTCCTATCCTAACCGCAAAATTGTTCCCCGAGCCACGAGTTCAGACACAAGCTCTCTTTAATTCTACTCTAATCTAAACACGATTTTCCCAAGTATAACAGATAGTAGGGTGAATTGGTAGCTACAACAATTCACGAGTTAAAATTAGAATTAAAGAAACAACCACAAGATGATAATCCGAATTAACAAAGATGTAATTCAGATAACCCATTCGAGTACGAGTCCAACCATACTAGTTATTTTTGCGGCCCATTATGCGACTGCAGAACCGTCATAGAGTGGACCATGTGAAGCTTAATTTTGAGGGCTATTCGTCAGCCAATTATGCGTCCGCGAAACTATTTCATGGGCCGCACTTCCAGAAGAACCAGTATGAGGATTTTCTTGAGTGAGGTTTCTCGTTCTATTTGGTAGCTACAGAACTGATATGCGGACCACAAATCTACCGTAATATGGGCCAGGGCAACCTAGATTTTGAGGAAGATTTCGTGGTACCTTCCGCAAACCTCAGACCTGCTCTATAGTGCATTTTGCGACCACAAATTTGGTTTAGAGGGTTCATTTTGTGTATTTTATAACCCGACCCTATTTTTATTAAAAGCCATTGTGGGTCATTTAGGAATGCATCTGATGGCATTTTTGAGATAGGAGAGAGCTAGATAGAGAGAGAAGGTGAAGCTTACACTCCTACAATTCCAATTGTTGATCAAACCTTGGGAATTCAGGAGGGGCTCACGAGTCTTCTATCATAGAGGTACGACCTTACCCCAACTCACATGCAATGTCCTTCTATGCATCTATGAGTATGATTGTATTATTTTGGGGGTTTATAGGATGGTGATCAAAAGCCTAGCCCTCTATTTCAAATTTGGGGGTGTAAGGAGAATGTGGGTTGTAGTTCTTGATTTGGAGGTGTGTCGTTGGTCATGCATGAATCGATAGAGGTGTCTTGGAAGTTGTTGAATTATCCGAGATGAATTGTTGGTTGATTTTGGCTTTGGGGTGAAGGAATTCTATGAGAAACACTTGTAGTCAATTTGCACGCCTAGTGTTTGATGAACTGCCTAAATGAGCTGAACCTCTAAACCCCTTCCTAATTATAGTTTAATTTTGTTATATTTCTATAGATTGAAATCACTGATATTTTTGGCTATACTCTTTTCGTAGAATCGAATTCCTCGAACTTCTCGTAAACTTTGATTATGATTTGATCAAGTTCCTATTTACTTCATTAATGTCTTCTTCTATGGTTAGCTGGTCCAGATCCCTATAATTTGTTTCATGTTCCAATTGTATAATGCCATGCTCCTCTTTTATGCTTATCCCCAATGTGTTTTGAATTCTTACATTATGAGCCAAAGATATGATTGTTTCTCAATGTTTCAAATATCCTTAATTGTTTTAAGATGATCCATGAAAGGTAATGAACAAATGAAAGTATGAATTGTGAAATGCGACCCTCATGCCAAGAATGATGATTTACATATGAGGCCAAGAGTGCCACTGAAAATGAAAGGAAGTGTGAAAGGCTATGAAAAGTATATGATCTTTTATATGATAAATGTCTTTTGGGAGTATTGTTAGGTCACCGAGGAAGGCTGGGTTAATAATGCTCAAGCCCTAAACTACATGTGTCGCTGTAGGGATTGATTGGGGGACAAGTTCCCATTATATTATATTGAGATTATTCCCCTTGATTGGAATGATTTGATAGCTAGAACAGATCATGTCGATCCACACGACATTGTGGTGAGACAGCTTAGCCGACCGCGCGGAGATCAGATGCCACGCTGCGCACATGGTGGTGTTGTGTTTCTATGTCAATCCTCATACTTTGGGGTGACATGGCTTAGCCGGTCAGGCAGTGATCAGACACCATGACACGGTCATGGTGGTTTGACAGTACTAAGGATCTCCCAACCAAAAATGAATATAGTTGCTTGAAGTTTTACTTTTTTTTAACTTGACATTTAAATATGATTGGTATGCTCATTGTTTCCATGTTTCTCTCCTCAAGTTGGCATTCTATTCCATGAGAGGGTATTTAGCTTTACATAGTAGTACTATTCTAAATGTACTAATGTCCCTTTTGTTAGGGATGCTGTATATTTAATTGATGCATGTGGTTCCCTAGCAGGCGGCACCGATCATTGCTTGCAGTACACCCTCTACTCGGCGGATTTTTGTGACCCCTATTCTACTTCGGGGCCTTATGTCACTTGATATTGTACATTGTGTTTTGAGGTGTCACCGGCACTTTCATACTACTCTTCTATTCCATTTATAGGCTTTGTAGACACAGTGTGGGTTGGGTTTTGGTTTGGGGAAGTAGACTATAAATGTTGTAGTTATCGGATGTTCCAATGTTTAACATGAATGTGTAATCTTTTGGAAATTGTAAATGAAGCCCCCTTTTTGTAATAAAAGATGATGTTTCATACTTTATCCTCTTCATATATATATCGCTTATTATTGATTCTCAAATGATTCTTGGGTAAAGTTGGGTAGAAGGCAGCTAGTAGTCTTGCTCGACTAGGATATCTCGATTGAGCGTCGGTTGCGCTCCCCAGGGTCAAGGCGTGACGAACAAGCACCAAGAGAATCAAGGGTGCCTACACTCATATGGCCCAAGGTTACATGGGTAATCACCTGAATCCGGAGGGATAGATCCATAATCCAATCGTTGATTATTTTTTAAATAATGACCACTAATAAACTGTTATGGCGTGTAACCCGATCCAAATCATAACATTATCAGTCTAATAATCAGTACCAATATCGGCTCAAGTGCTTGTACATCCAAAATCCTCATCTTTTCTCAATAACTGCTTTCCACTCATGCATGTGTGTAGAAAACGATAAAATAAAGGGGCACAAGACATGATAATA